GAAACTAAACAATTTATCATCATAATTTAAAATTTCATTAAAAAAAAAAAAAAAAAAATTTGTCCACAAATCAAAATCGGCAAAAGCAAAGAACGAGATAAATTATATATTAACTATTACGATGCAAAAAAAGCAGATTTCTCTTAATAACAACATTGAATGATTAATTTCCATGATATCGAGCGATCAAAGTTTCCTCGGGATAGTGGGCTCGAGATCGATATCGCGAGTACATCGATATCGCGCCTTAGCCATGTCGTAACGACTTTATAACGGATATATCGGTGACAGGATCGAACGTCAATCGATGACTCACGACACAACCCTTTTGTAATATTCGCGTTAGAACGATCGTTGGATAAAACGGCGACGATTGAGTATAATGAACGAGAAATTTACGATTGACTTTTGCATTGATTCGATTTAATCGGTATAAATAGAATGAGTGTGAACTGTTGGGTGATAGGAATGAGAATTATTGAAGGAATATATATCCGATTTTGCAATTGTATGGATAATAGATTGAGTTGAAATTAAAAAGTTTAAAAAGAACATTGTGACATTATTTCCTAAGAAAATTTATTGGTAACCTAACTGTTTCTAATTAATAGTGAGATTCAAAAAATCGTAGATTTATTGTCTTTGTTTTGAAAGTCTCTTTCAAAAGATAAAGTGCAATGATACATTTATGTAAAAATATTCTAAATTACAAAACTTTAATTGAATCTTTATTGAATGAACAAAAGCTAACCTAAAAATAAAAGTCAATTTATTCTAAAATCTTTAATTTCTTCTTCAAAAGATAAAATAAATCAACAAATGGCATTGATTCTAAAGATCATGATCCACGAATCACCAAGAAATTCTATAAAATTTTAATCAAACTTTTTTCAAAAGATATAATCTATTTACTATTCACTGCTGGAAAGAAATCTCGCGAAACGACACAAGGACGACAAGAGGGATCTTAGAACTATCTATATCTACTTTAAACGTTTTGTTGACAATCCTAACACAAAGAATTATAATTTGAGTATTCAAAATCATAAAAATTGAGTATGCTAATGCATCAAGCTTTAAATACAGATTGTCGTTTTAGCATATGTGACAAATACTATAGTAGAAACAAAAATGCATGTGAAAAGGCGTTTTCTTCTAAATTAACCAATCAGATTCATTACATTCCTTTCGAGACTTCTCCAACGGTAAACAGTACAGATGGCGCTGATACTATTCTAAATATAGTAGAACGATCGCTAAAAAAATTCTACAAAATTCTGATCGAATCCTTTTCGAACGATCAAAAAAGTTACCGTATTTGCAAATAATTCTGGAGAAACGAAGAAAGAGAGACGATAGGGTTGGCAATCAATTTGCGCGCGGTCACGCTGATACAGGATCGCGGATCCTAGGGATTTTGCGGCGTGACCGACGATGCGTGACGCCGTGGAACACCGCAACAGGAGAGGGAGAAGTGGGGGAAATCGCGTATATACGCTCCACTTTGACGATGCGCATAGGCAAAGGCGAAAAGCTCGCATGCCATCGTGCGCGTCCTCTTCGCCCCCTTCGCGTCGTCGCTCCCCTCTCCCTCCATGTGCGCGCTTATCTTTCCTCTGGGATCAAAGGACCGTGTTCGTATCGTGGCGTGTTTCGAATCTTGAAACGTAATCCGTTTTGCGCGATTGGTTCCGCCTGTTCCCGCCTGACTCCAACTTCAGATCGAACGCTCTTATTCACGATCGATTGTCAACCACGATTTTCGCGTCCGATGATCCCCGAATACATGAAAAGAATTTTCTTCATTTGATCTGGTAATATCCTTTTTTCTCTTGGTTGAAATTTAATTGATGATTTTGTGTAAACAAACAATTTATTATCGCGATAAATGTGACATGTGTATTGGATCTTTGGATAATCCAATTCTCTTTCTTACTTTCTTTCCTATCAAATTTGATCTTATCAAATTTTGCCATTCGAAAGATTGCAATTCTATTATTTATTGACGAATGTAAAGTGTCTTAAAATATAAGCATCTATCTAATTTCTGAATAATTAAATAAAAATAATTATTACACATTTTCTTATTTAGAATTATATACTCGTTAAATACTCGACAAAAAAATTTTCTCGCTTACTCATCTCGTCTCATCTTCGTCATTTAAAACAAGAAACCGTATATCCAAGTATTTCGCTCCATCGTTGAAATTATCCATTTCCAACAAATCGATGGTACTTTGACAGTCGAGTAAACACCTGAAGAGTCGGAGGGAGAATCGTTGAAACGAGGAAAGGGGACAGTGATTGGTGGAGGGGATGGAAACCGCTAAAGAGGTGCACGTGCACGTTGAATACTTACACGTTGTCGCTCGGTTGCCTGAAATCGGTCAATTTTCGTGCCGCGGCGGGATCGTTGGATGCCAACAACTTTTTCATCCATTCGTATCCCACGGAGGGAAGGAAATTGATCGATTTCATCCACGACGACGGGGAAAAAAATCGTACGATATTCTGTGGTTATGAAGTAACAATTTGACATTAAC